CTTTCTAACTATAAAAATAAGGAGCTCTGGCAATAGTGCACTGATTTCACATTTAAAAAAAAAAATCTTAACAGTGTAAGGCAAATTGGTGGAAAACTTATTATCTTCATTTTACACTTTAGCAAATGAAGTCTAAATGTTAAGTTAACCAGAATTAAGTTTAGGGCTCATTTCTTTTGACTTCTAACCTTAGTTTTGTTTTGTGTTTGTTTGTTTTCTTCATATTAACATCTCCCACAAACTATACACACTTTCTTAATTTTCTAATAGTGTTTTCTAAAATTGGATTTTCTTTTTTACTTATGATGATTATATAAGAGCATTTTATATACTGAGATTGAAAGATAGCAAAAGAAGCTGAGTAAAATTCATTTTAGAAAAGGGTGAAAAGTAATATAATGATAAATGTATGGATTAAAACAAAGTAGCAATTTTTCTCTTGGATAGAGTTGAAAGTTGCAAAAATAAAATTTTTGTCTCTGACAAAAATTCATCTTTGTATTAGAGAGGGCTTCTCCAGTTTCATTTAAAAATGAACCCCTATTGCTCTTCATTTTAAAATGGATTATTTTTACTAAACCATCATCTAAAGGAGCTGTTATATATTAATTTTTTCAATGATTTAACCTGAGATGTTCTAAGATGTATATTATCCCTATACAATATCTAATATATAGTTTGCAGGCAGCCTTTTTGTTGTCTATTGGTATATCAGACTTTAAGAAAACAAATATTACATGCAAATATATTTTAAATCTAAGTCCTCTAAATGCATTTTAAAATCATATAAATACAGTTACATATTAAAACAACATAATTTATTTGTCCTATTCTAGCATTTAGGTAGCGACAACATACATTTCAATAAATCTTCAGAGTAATGTGAAATTCCAAGCAACTACAGACATGCCTGTTGCTTTACCTTGGAGAGCTGTCCGAAACTTACGTCAGTGGACAGTGTTACTACAGCTGATTTGATAATGGAGCCGCCATCACTCTTCTATGGTGTGAAGACCATAGAAGAGAAAGTGTTTGCCTCCTCCTATGGATTTGCATTTAGGTCTGCGTTTATTGTGAAACGTATTCTCTGAAAGTCGGTGGCTGAAACGCTATAGGGTATCCTTATCGTTAAGTCCCTACAGCGAAGTTTGTAGACCCAAGTGTATGCTAAGCAATACTACAGCAAATCAAGTGTAACGCCAATGACAAGGTGTAAGCGCTACAAACTGAAAATGTGTAACAAAGAAAACTGAGGATATACTGACAAGTGATTAAATTATATTTATCTCCCAGGTGCGCAAAACTGTAAACCTCCCTCCCTTTCTGCTTTAGATTGTGTTACAGCCTAGATTTGCTGTCGAGTATTTTGAGAGAGTGTGTTTGAAATTTCATGATTTTATTAGTCTTCGAAATAATAACTCTAGTATATATTTTCATCACTTTCAGGCTATATAAAAGAAAGATGCTTAGGTGGCCAATTGCCCCAGAACTAGCCGCATTTAGAGGAGAAAAGGATAAATCTTTCAGATTTGGGGAAATCTACTTTGGCTCTTAAGAAAGATGAAAAGTGTCGTCGGGCAGCAGGGCAGGAGGCGAGAGCCAGGCGGTTTTGTGCTCCGCGCCTTGGGGATCCACTAGGCTGCCTGAAGCACCTAAAACGCAGCTTTCGCCACTCTTGTGTTTGAAGTGATGGTGGGGAGCAAATTAACAGTATAAGAGAATCTAATAACCATTCTCTTTCCCTGCATTGTACCCAGTTCAGAATTCTTCCAAGTTCCATACCCTTTGCTCTGAGCAGATCACTGGCTCTTAGTTCGCTGAGTCCTCCATACCTGGGCCAGGCAGGTTAGGCTCCTCTCGCCCCTCGCTTCTCCACCCTTCAACCCCTCCCAGCGGCAAGCACAGCCTCTGCAGCGCTAACTCCCGGGAGGTGAACTTAGACATCCAGCACCTCAGAAGCCCAGAGACACAAGAGGTTGCCAGGGCGCAAGCCCATCCATCAGTCAACACTTTCCTGCGTTGTAGGCGCAAACCCAAGCTCTAACTTCACTCTAGCTAATCATAAAGAAATGTGGCGCTCATCACTGTGGCCTCTCCCGCCTAGCCACGCGTGGTGAAATCTCCTGGGGTTGACTCCAGTCAACCGCGAAACGGGATTTGCACTGTAGCCTCTCAGCTCCTGCAGCCAGAGCCGGGAGCTCCGGACAGATTCTCTAATTTCTCCCCTTAGTGCGAAGGCAAAAGCCCCTTTTGCTCCCTGACTGCGAGGCGGGCAGGTCTGGAAGCCACGCACCAGTGGAGAGGACTCCGTGTCCCTGGGGCTACCCAGCAGCGCACGCAGCCACAGCTCCTTTGCCAGGGGTTAACAGAGCCCGGCGGCCTGGCGCGCGCGGAGGCTTCCTCTCCGCAGTCCCGGGAACGTGGATACAGCGACCGCAGGATGTTCGCGGGCTGGGCCCTGCAGTCAGGAAACATGAGAAGGCCTCGGTATTCCTGTTCCGGGGCCGCGCGCGCCCGTCTGGGTAATTAAAGCCGAGACGACGGAGGTGGCCGCAGTGAGCGCGCTGGAGCCCGCGCGGAGAACATGCGGCGGGGATGGGAGTCCGCCTAGCCTCGACCAGGGAGAGCCAGTCGCCCAGCCGCTGGCCGCCGGCCCGGCCGCCACAGGTACAGCCCTAGCGTCGGGGCATGCCCGCCCGGGGCTCGCAGGACAAGAGGGTCGCTCACGCCTCACCGCTGCTCCTTCGCTGTGCCCCGAGTGCCTGGCCTCTCTCCGACCTTCCGCCACCTCTCCTCCAAGGTCCGGTGAGGTGGCGGCCAGGCTGGCGCCCAAGGCTAGCCGGAGGATTTACAAGGATCGGTGGAGCCCACCTGGCAGCGCCCCTGTTGCTTTGAAATTATCCGCCGATGTTGGGCGGGGCTGTGTTCTCTAGGAGTGAGCTCCCTAGAGGCACCTGGAGTGGATAGAGTAAGTAGGGCCTGGATGGCTGGAGAAGAGGCTGTAGGCACCGCACGCTGGCCCCAGAGAGGGTTAGGATCAGCCGCCTGAAGTGCGCCGGGGCATTCACCCGTCCCTAGTGCTACCGTGCGAAAGATCTGAACTCTCAGACCTTTCCCGCCAGCTCCCATCGCGCCTGCTCCCTGCGCATCTGGTTTCCAGTAGACCCAGACCTGTGGTTGAGGTCGCTCTGCGTGTGCCTACGGCGGCCTGGGAAGGGTCCGAGATGGCAAATCTCAAGTCTCGTCGCAGCTAGGAAAAAACATGCCATTGCATCTAGGAGCACAAGGCTGGGGTGAGGAGAGGCGGTGCAGCGGAAGAGTGTGTTTTACTAATAAAGCAGTGTGGATGCAAATCAGTAAGCGCACTGTTTTTAAAATGAAAAAAAAAAAAAAAAAAGAGCTAGTCCTAGGGGTAGAATAAGGGCTGGAAGCACGGAAATTTATTTTAACACTTATCACTGAGGCTATGTCCACACTCTCAGTCACGTACCTGTCTGCGCCGGGAAGAGTCAGTCCTAAAAGACACGGGGCAACCAGCAAAGGTCTAACTTCACTTCCCCACACATATAGAAGGTAGCCGTCGTTTAATCGCTGTGGTCAAGGCTCTAAATGTAGCGCGTGGCTGCTGCTGTTATGGCCAGAGGGCGGGGCGGGGCGGGGGGCGCTGGCGAGTGTGGGCGCCTCGCGAGGCACAGGGTGTGTGGGTGGAGGGTGGCAGCCCACGCCACGGCAGGGTGGGGTGAAGGGGTCACCGGCAGCGAAGAGGAGGCCTCTTGGTGAAACGGGAGCTGCCCAGAGACTCGAGGCGGGGAGATGGGGTGGGCGAGAACCGCCGCGCTGTTCCGGGCGTTAACTAGTCTGCCAGTCGGCGGCGCGAACTTGCCCTGGACGCCCGCAGGCGGCGAGCTGAATCTCCAGGCCGCCGCGACCCCAGAGGTGAGGTGGAGGCTTTTCCCGGAGGTGACAGCCACCGCAGCTGCGCAGCCGCCAGGGCCGCTCGCTCTCCGGCGCAGAGGAGATGGGCGCCGCGTTGCGCAGTGCTGCACAACTACCTCCTTCCACTTCAGACACCTTTCGAGCATCTGAAATTCTTCCCCGCGGCCCCAGGGAGGGAGGCAGATGTGGAAGGACTCCAAGCTTGAATTTCACAGCGATGCATTGAAAGATGGTAACACTGATCGCTGGCTTCTCCTTGGGACCTGCCCGGACCCTGTGGGTCCTGGGGCGGGCCTGAGGCTGGTAGGAAGAGTAGGGGGTAGGAATGTTTGGCATTTGGCTCTGACGCCCCCCTTAACTTTCCTGTTCTGTAGTCCATTCCTGACTTTCCCTGTCCACCCTGAGGGACTTTAGCCCAGAGAAGGACGCAGAGGAGTCAGCCAAACCAGTCAGGATCAAGAAAACACGAAAATCCCAGTATGGCTAGACACTCATTAACTGGTCTTGTGAAGCGGGTTGCTCACTTTACCCACAAAATTCCCTCTCTCTCATCTCCACTTTACCCCCATTGAGAGACTCAGAGAGGCTTTTAGTCTTCTCTTGTGATTGAAGAACCACGCGCGGCTCTCCGCCTATCCCATTCCTCTATCTGGAGTGTGCTGCTTCCAGATTAAAACCAAGACCCGGAGGCTGGTTTGTGAATTACTTCTTTTTTGCCATGCGGGTGAATTATTCCCGGTGAGGTTCCCTGAGGAACTTGATTCCTGGAGCAAGAAGGAGAGCAGGAACCCCGCGAGTAGGCTGCTGGCAATACTGGAGGGTGCACCGAGAGTGTGCCAAGGTGGGAGTGCACGGTAGGGAGAAGTATGGGTTCCTGGTCTAGGTGCCATCGCTTCTCCCCTCGCCCCCCCCCCCTAAGTTCGGCGCCTGGGACCCTTAAGGATCCGAGCACTTTCCCTGAGTAACGCGATGCACTTAATCTCCTAGAACCCGAACCCTGCAGAGCCCGGCGGCCTGGTCCCGAGGCGCTGCGGCCGTGCTGCGCACCTCTGCCAGCCCGCATCATGAACACCATCGTCTTCAACAAGCTCAGCGGCGCGGTGCTTTTTGAAGACAGCGGAGCTCCAGAGAGGGAGAGGGGCAGCCGGCCCTACGGCGGAGTCCTGGACAGTCCCCACGCGCGCCCGGAAGTGGGCATTCCCGATAGTCCGCCCCTCAAGGACAACCTCGGCCTGAGACACCGGAGGACAGGGTATGCGCAGTTCTCCTGGGACCCCTCAGCCCTCAGTCTGCCTGCAAGGGGTAGAGGTGGGGGCGGCGAGCTGCGTGGGAGTGCAACTGACAAACGTTGGTCTGCGGCTCAGGGGCCCTGCGTTTTCCCGGGGGGGGGGGGGGGGGGCAGGCCTCTTCTTGTTTTCTCGCGTTTCATTTTAAGGTATTAGTATCAAAATATGAAGGGATCAATTAGTCAGAAAGTTCAAAAGGACACTAGGAAAAGCCCTAGTCCTCCGATACCTGGACCTCGAGAGTAGGGGGTTACTTATCCCTCTCCCGACCCGCGAGTGCAGACGCGCGGCTAAGGATGAAGCACAAAGTACTGGGTAGGAAGCATGGACAGGAGCAGAAACCCCTACGAATGAACCAGAGCTGGGCCAAGCAGTCGAGAATTCCCAGGTCAGGTCAACATAGGCAAGACCTGTGGGCTTTTTTGTCTTCTGTTCAGAAGAGGACTTCGCCACGGCCTCGCGAGGTGCCTTGCTTTCGCCAAGGTGTCGGGAAGGTTGGCTTTTCGCAGAGCGCCCCGGGTGCGCCGTCCCGGCTCTGCGGAGCCTTCTACTAGCCTGTAAAAGGAGGGTGTGTGCCTGCTGTGTTTCGATTCAGCGGGATGTGGGGGGCGTTGGGGTGCGGTAGCTCGAGGGGTGGGCAAGCTGCTAGAGCTGCTTGTGCGTGAAGGGCTGTCTGTACCTCCGCCAGACCTTAGCAGCTTTTGGAGTGTCCTGCTGGGGGAGGGGCGACCGTTCTGGCCGTTTCCACCTTAACGATTGCATCAGCTGCTTGTTCTGCGGCATTGCTGGTTAGTAAAATAGAGATTAGGTTTCATCAAAATGTTACTACCATTCCATTCAAATGGAGTTGCATTTCAAAGTATTTAAAGAGGCAAAAGCCCAGGAGGCTGCAGCGCAGGCGCGCGAGCCTTTCGGAGTGCTGGGCGTGCGGGTGGCGGCGCCGCGACACCTTCCGGAGCCGCCCGGGAGCGCAGCTATGGACGTTCGGCTCCCGGCCTGTGCCGCTTCTGTCTCCTTTCGTTTTAATATGCTTTTTCCTGAGGTCTTTTTACTTTATCTGATGGGACAGAGCTTTCCATTCAGCTCTTCCATTTGTCAGAAAACGATCCCTAGAGTGTTTCCTTAGGTTCTGCATACTTCCTTCACCTTCCCGCCTCCCCTTTTTTGTTTTTTGGAAAGTTTCCCCTCTTTTCAAAGAGCGAACGGGAGAGGCTCGAGGGTGGTGAGGCGGCCGTCATCCGTTGCTTTAATCCCGCCATCCAAAGGGCGACCTTTCCCTTAACCACACGCGACAAGAAACCCTTGGTGGCAGGTGGAAGTTTTCTGAAGAACGTTAGAGAATCGGCAGCTGGGACCTGGCCCGCTAGGCCAACGCTAACGAGGACGCGGTGCTGGGGCAGGGAAGGATAACAGTTGGTCCTGCTGCCCAGATCTGTGTCTTGAATAACATTTTTATTCAAATAACTTTACCAGCGTCTCCTAAACCTCTAACCTTAAATGGGTTCAAAATATCTCCCTTTTAAAGATAAACCTAGCATCCCCTCAATGCTACATGATCTCCAGAATTGCCAGGCTACTAGAAATAGAGGAAATGACACCTGACCCAGAAACACATTAATAGTGTTTTTCCCATCCCTTGCTTTGCTTCAACCTCGGCGCCTTATACCCCTGTCGCGCGCGTGGGGCAAGGGCGCACAGCCAGGCTGGATGCCCTAGGGTGCAGGGTGGGGACTCGGCGTCCCTTAGTGGCCAAGGTGGGGGGCTGCCGCGTCTGAAATGCGACAAGGCATAGAGGATCCCGGAGGGCAGCGCCCAGACAGGGCCGCTCACCAGGGCCTCCTCCTCCACCCGTGTCTCAGGGCCCGGCAGAATGGCGGGAAGGTGAGGCACAAGCGGCAGGCCCTGCAAGACATGGCGCGGCCCCTCAAGCAGTGGCTTTACAAGCATCGTGACAACCCGTATCCTACCAAGACGGAGAAGATACTCTTGGCCCTCGGCTCGCAGATGACGCTAGTTCAGGTAATCAGGGTCCACCAAGCTCCAGACCTGTCTCCCAACACTTGGCGTTTGTGCGATTCTCCACGTGGCGCGTCTCCCTGGAGAAGTATGGAGGTGGGGTGGATGGGAGAGAGGCAGGACCCAGATGCTCTGGCGGTAAATTCCTGCTGTTGAGGATGAAGAGGGGTTGGCACAGGTGCTGAGTTTTTCTGTTTTGGGAAAACAGTTTCCTGGTTTCATCTCATCCTTAGCTATCAGTTCAGTGCAAAAGCTTGGTCCTGTTGGGCTTATATCATCTATGTTGTTAGGTACGGAAGTGAAAAGTCAATTGCATAGTTAGGAGACGCTCACCAACCATACATGGATGTACACAAATGTTAGTACCCGCAATGACTTTCTAGGCCTTAGTGTGCATCAGAATCACCTGGAGGGCTTTTTAAAACACAAATTGCTGGACCTCATCCAGAGTTCATGGTTCAGTAAGTTTGAATGTGGATAATTTGCATTTCTAAAAAGTTTCCAGGTGATGCTGAAACCAAGGGTCCTGTACCATACAGGACCTTACAGAACGGCTCTCTGTATTAAGGTCCTGTATTAAATCTCAAGTGCAACTTTCAAAATTAGCATTGCTAACAAAGGATAGGGAGCTCTGGTAGCATAGTGGCTAAGACACTTGCCTGCTAACCAGACGGCTGGCGGTTCAAACCCACCAGCCACTCCTCGGAAGGAAGGTTGGGCAATCCTACTTCCGTAGTGATAACTGCCTCGGAAACCCAAGGAGGGGTCGCTATGAGTCGGGGCCGACTCGACGGCACATAACAACAACAACAACAACAAAGGATAAGTAGTGGTTTTTGGATTTCTTTCTTTCTTTCTTTTTTTAAATAGGAGGCATTGTGGGCATCAGCAATACTTTATTGCTTGATGTTTCTACTTGTTAAGATAGATTTCAAAAGATTGGGGTACTTTGCCACATGTAAAGAAATGGTATGCATAGGTTGTTTCTTCTCTAGTGAACCGCACTTTTTTATATTTGACTCGTCTTCCTGTGTAACTTTCATATTCATAACAACATGGTAAGGTAGAGAAGTTACTGTCAACATTTTACAGATAACATAACCAAGGCACATGGAAGTTAAGTGTTATTAAGGGGTAGAGATAGCTCTTGAAATAAAATAATTCCAGATCACATGCCGTTTCTGCCACATTACAGTTTTCTTTAAGAGATACAGTGATGTGGATGTTTATACATGCACATAGAACAAAATTTATTCAGAAAGAGGAAGAGGAGCTAGAGGAGCAGATAAATTTGGTATATTACGGTAGTATTATATCAGTGCTTTTGTGAAATTTTGGGCATTTCATTAAATTTAAATAACAGAGGAATCCTGCAGTGAAAAGCAATATTTAACTAACATAAAATTAAAATATTAAAGTTGCTTTCCAGAGTATTTAAAATTGTCCTTTAGGAATTACTGGAAAGTTTGACAAAGCAGGAGAGTTCAGGCATATCAAAACATATGTGCTTCTGTCTGCTGCTTTTCAGAAAATAACTATAGAGGAAAACATCTGCTTTCCTTTATATTAACAGGCAATAGTCTTAATAGTGATTTGCTGTGGCACTGGAGGGGAAAATTAATTTAGTGTTCTTGGCTTAATATTCATATAACATAAAAGTATGAACTTTTCAATGATTTACAAAAATAGTTTCTAGATAAATTACTTCTGTCAGAAAAACTTGACCTATGAAAATAAATACACATTTAAATTTCAGTTTAAATAGATTGGCTATTTATTTTTAAAATACATTAATTTATAGAGCTATTTGTATGTTTCAGAATGATATCAACAATAACGTATTAGATTATTTTGGTTAATTATATAGTTCCATATGTAATGCTTGGCATTCTTTCATACTAAAACCCAAACTCATTGCCATTGAGTCAATTCCAACTCATAGCAACCCTACAGTACAGAGTAGAACTTTCTCATAGGGTTTCTAAGGCTGTAATCTTTACAGAAGCAGACTGCCACATCTTTCTCCTGCAGCGTGGCTAGTGGGTTTGAACCACTGATCTTTTGGTTAGCAGCCAAATGCTTTAACCACTATGCCAGCAGGTACCTTTCTTTTATACAGAAAACAAAAAAGGTTTGTGACATATTTTAGAGCATTTTTAAATTCAGAAAAAAAATATTTATTTGTTATAATAATAATAATGATAAAATTATTATTAGCAGAGACATTCAAATTTTCTTTCTTAGTAGTTTTGTCAAGCTGCAATACAAATAGTTGTAATTTTGACACAGAGTAAAATTATTTGGTCCCTCTATATGATAGTTCAAATACAAATAACAATTCTTTTTGTGTTCAGATTTTGGTAAGGTTTATTTTTCTAATTTACATGAAATTTCCTTTCAATTCAAAATGGTTTTCTTTCTCTGATACTAGTTTTCAGAGAATAAAAATGCACAGAAATGTGTGATTTTAAATGGTGCAAGATAATTACTTATAATGATAAGTGATACTTGTATAATGATTTCCAAATTTTATAGTAAATGATGTCGGTTTCTGGAACTTTAAAGTGACAAAAAGTAGGAAAAATCAAAGTATATAGCATAACTAAGGGTATACATACACATGTGTATGTGTGTGTGTATATATATATGTTTGTGTAAGTGCTATCCTTTCATCATATTTATTCAATCTGTATGCTGAGCAAATAACCTGAGAAGCTGGAGAATATGAAGAAGAATGTGGCATCAGGATTAGAGGTAGACTCACTGACAACCTGCGATACGCAGATGACACAATCTTGCTTGCTAAAAAAGTGAAACTTGAAGCACTTACTGATGAGGATCAATGACTAGAGCCTTCAGTGTGGATTCTACCTCAACATAACAAAAATCCTCATAACTAGACCAATAAGCAACATCATGAGAAACAGAGAAAAGATTGAAGTTGTCAATCTTTTACTTGGATCCACAATCAACACCCATGGAAGCAGCAGCTAGAAAATCAAATGACATATTGCTTTGGGAAAATCTGCTGCAACAAATCTCTTTAAAGGTTAAAAAGCAAAAATGTCACTTTGAGAACTAAATGATTTTGCCTAACCCAAGCCATGGTCTTTCAATCACCTCATATGCATATGAAAGCCAGACAATGAATAAGGAAGACCAAAGAAGAATTGATGCCTTTGAATTGTGGTGTTGGTGAAGAATATTGAATATACTACATTGTACTACCAGATGAATGAACAAATCTGCAGTGGAAGAAATACAGCAAGAATGCTCCTTTGAAGGAGAGGAAGTGTTATCAGGAAGGACCTGTCCTTGGAGAAGGACATCATGTTTGGTAAAGTAGGAAAAAAAAAAACAAGCCAAACTCACTGCCATCGAGTTGATTCTGACTCATGGCGACCCTCTTTGGGTTTATGAGGTGGTAAATCTTTAGAGAAGTAGATTGCCCCATCTTCTGTGGAGTGGCTGATGGGTTTGAACCTTCTGGTTAGCAGACAAATGCCTCAGGCACTATGCTACCAGAACTCCTTTGGTGAAGTGGAGGGTCAGTGAAAAAGAGGAAGACCCTCAACAACATGAACTGACAGAATGGCTGCAACAATGGGCTCAGATCTAGCAAAGATTGTGAGGATGACCCAGAACCAGGCAGCGTTTTCTTCTATTGTACAGGGGGTTGCTGAGTTGGAACCAATTCAGCAGCCCCTAACAACAACAACAAGTCAGAAATATACTAACATCCAAAACAAATTCTGACTCTATGGTCAAACCAAGTAAAATATAGCAAGACTTTACATATCTGGAGGGAGTTGGAGAATGAAACTATGATCTGAATAAAGCTTTTGATCCCTGCAAATTAGACCTCCATTTAATGAATCAGATTCTCCCAGTGAATAAATTACCTTTGTGGAGTCAAAGTTCGTGAGGAGAGTGATCAAGTCTTACTCATCTTTGTACCCCCATATCATGCCAGCACAGTGCTTTCTATGTAAATACTTAGTATATGATTGTAGAATAAGTAAGTTCCTTTTGGAAAATGATGGTATAAACACCATATGGCTTTCCCAAATACCCTTCTGACAATTAGAGAATGTCTTGAAATCTGACTAAGATGTATTAGTTTGAAAATCTGCCCCATTGTAGGAAATACACAGAGGGCAGCTCGCTATCTTTATGGTGGTTTTGCAGAGCACTAACACAAGTATAACTCATTTTATTTTCAAAATGTCTGGAAATTGTCATATTTTTATGTCTATAGACAAATGTGGAGTGCTTCTCTTATTTCTGGCTCTAAATTCCTATTTCTTGTTCAGTGCAATGCCTCCTATCTCTTGTTTCTCATGGTTTATATTAACAAGCTGTCAACATAATTCTTTTATCCCTTAACTACAAGAGTGTCTTGTCTTTTGAGAATTTCTTTACACTTAACTTCTTTTTTCTCCCATTGTGTGTCAAACTGTCAAGCTTTTCATAATAATTTTGCCTTACTAGGCAGTCCCCGGGTTATAAACGAGATCCATTCCTAACTATGTCTTTAAGAATTTGTAGATCAGTCAGAGCAGGTGCATATGGTTCTTATTTAGCCTTACTTTAGTGTGAGAAAAGGCTCAAAGGCTGTTTAGTGATTTAAAAGCTGCATGTGCAGCAAGTGAAGGTGATTGTGATGAAGAATTTGTTGAATGTAGGGGTTGGTTCAATCATTTCAAAGTGAGGGGAAATTTATATAACATTAAAGTTGGGCTTCAAACAGGTAAGCAGAGTGAAGACAGTAGCACCCTGCTCAAATATGGCAGCTCCTGCCCATACATGGCAGAGCCCTGCTCATAGATGGCAACTGGTGCTGCCAGTAAGCCAATCTCACACATCAGGCTCCTGAAAGTACTCACTAGGACTTTACCGAGTCTCCCATTCAGAGCTTCAATCCATAATTTTTCCCGTTCCTGTTACTGTGAGGAATCACCAAAATTGTAAAAGTTCAGGTTGATTCCAGACAGAATCAGTTC